TACTGCTGAAGCCAATCATTAGTTAAAGAATCAGTTGAATAAATAACCATTTGCTTAAAATAAGCACTGCAATAGGGAAGCCTAGTAGAGACCAGGGTGGGGAGAGAATTGGGGGTACATGGATTTGCTTATAATTATATGCCTGCCTATTCAACCAACCAAATTCTATGGTGAATGATTGTAAATTAGTGTGTTGAGGCTTTAAAAATGACTAAGTCAGCCAGGTCTATATACATCACTGAAGTGTCAGCAAAAAATTGCCATACAAGCAATAAATGACTTGAAGTATGACTGGCTCTTATTTTGTAATCAGAAGCTGCAATTGAAGGAGATTATTAGGGAAGCAAACATGTGTGAAATGGATAATGTTTAAGTATCAGATTCTCAACTTGGTGGAACATGTGCAAGTCACATGGGATCAAACTATGGAAAACCAAGGCCACATTACACAGATTGGAAGAGAACATTCCAACATGTATTCATTTAGTCTTTAACCGCATACAGTGGAAAGACATTTGAACATTAGTAGTAATAAAACAAACTTCCATCTATGTTAGAAACAATTTCATGCATAAGAGTTACATAGATTGAAAATCATTTTATACTTGAAGATTTTACCTATTTTAATGGTTCATAGTTGAAGTATTATGGTCTCAGAAAAGAAATTAATGTTGACAGATTGGAAGGGTAGCATCAGGACAGGCATCTCTTATAAATCTAAGAAGAATAGGAGTGATTATGAAACAATCTATGGAAAAACTATTAGGTATGTGCAAAAGTTTGAGATTGAACAGGTAGTTATAAATTTTTTTTTGCTACAATTATTCAACAGTGGCTGGCCTTGAACTTCTGCACACACACAAAAAAAAATCACCAAGTACTCTGACTGAATTTAATTCTTGTTAAAATATTTCAAATACTAAGAATTTCAGATAAAATTTTTTAAAATTAAGGTAAATTCTGCTCTTTCAGAGTCAACACTGAAAATCAATTACTATGCTTAATTTACTTAAACTAATCACTGTGTATTTCCTCCCACCCATACATAAATTTATATCTCAAGGAATAAAACAGTTTCTCCAAGCCTAGACACCACACAATATAAAGTCACATTAATTTTACTTAAACTCTTTAACTAGTTTAAATATGCAAATTTGTAGCTAATGATTTACAGATTTTGCAGTTAGTAAATAATCAATTAACAATGTAACAATGATTTTGTAATTAGTCCTATAGGCAAATGTTTTTTTTTTTTTTTTTTTTTTAAATTTTAATGTATTTGCAGGTAAGCATTTAATGTAGCTGAATATCTATCTACAGTATAGAAGAAAAAAAAAAATAACTTTGATAAAATGTTCAACTCAACAATTAGGAAATTCTGTCTATTAGAGGGTGGGGAAACTACTGTAATTTACAGAAACAGGTAATAAATACCTCAAAAAAAATACAAGGGAATATATTGGGGGGGGGGGTTATATCCTGTCAAATACATAACTTGTTAATCCATCAAGATTAGAAATATTCTGAATGAATGGACACTAATGGTATCTTAACATTTCTATGAATATTTCAGAAATTCTTTTTCCTGTTCTGTTCCAATACATTTCATGGAAATGTAGACACTGAACAGAGGAAAAAGAAAAAAAAGCTGGTTCCTCATTTTAGTAATTGTACCTGCAAATTTCTCTTGACACCACTATTGTCAATTCTCAAGAAAAAGTATAAATCTAGATGCTTGTAAACTATGTTAGTAAATGTATGTGGCAAGAGCAAATGAAAAATGCATCTTTCAAAATTTATTAGTTATTCATTATCAAGAATGTTTACATAAAAAAAACATGTTCAGTTATTTCCTTATAAAATGCTAAAGAATAAATATTGCATTGTAGTTGGTTAACATTTGTATAAACTTGTAAATAAACAATCTAACAAAAATATGGTTTAATTCTTGAGAAAAAAGAGAATGCATATAATTTGGGGTTTTATCAAAAAAAACTTTAGGGAGAAGCGTGGTGTCAAGAGAAAGCTGTCCTTTTCGAAAACCATTTATTCATTACAGGTATGCATGTTAAACATTGCCAGTAATTCTGTTTGCTTTTTTCAATAACAATTCCAATGAAATGGGGGAAATAATTTTGAATTTAAATCATTCAATACTGTAACAAACTATTGGTTTAAAAAAAAAAAAAAAAAAAAACTTTATAAACACTAAGATTTTTTTTTTTTTTTTGCAGCCTGTTAAGCTTTTATTAGGAATAGTCATGCATTCTTTTTAAAAAATTATATAATCTGACCATATTTTGGCATCATTTTGCTTTTTTTTTTTCTTAATGCAAGCAACATCCAGGAAAACTCTTAAGATAATTTAAGAGAGTTTATACAATAAGTCCATAGCTTGAAATTTACTTGAATATAGATGTATCATGATCTGAAATTTACACCAGTGCAATTCTGAGGAAGATAATGCTGGTAAATGTTTCAAGTGTGTAGGTTGCAAACTTATTAACACCTCTGTATGTAGTCAGAATCCAAGTTTTGTAATTCGACAAGGGAGGTAATTCAAATTCTTGAACAGGTCTAAAGAGCCTAATCATTAACACAAACGTTTGGATTTTGGAAAATGTTAAATGGAGAAATTTTTAACATCTAAATTATTTTTAGGATTTTTTTTTTTGACTTACTAGGGTAAGTGAAAAATTTTGACTTACTAGGGTAAGTGAAAAAGAAAAATCCTAAAAATAATTTAGAATGTCATTTTAAAAAGACCATAATGTAAGAATAAAATTGTTATTCCATATATTAATGAGGGCATCTTGCAAAAACTATATAAATTAAAGATTTTTAGTGTGCATGTAAAAATAGTAATTTGCTATATTTGTGTGTGTAGAAGAAATTAAAAAAAAATAATGGGTCATTATATAGTCTGTAAAACATCTCCATTAAAATTCAAGATTCAGAAAAAAAAAAGTTTTCGAATTATTTCCCTTGGTACGTTAAAGCAGCTGTAAATGTTACTAAGGTCAAATTTAATTAAGATTTCAATATGCAGACAAATGAGAGAACCCAATATAAAAATATTAGCAGTAAACTAACAACAAAAATATGCAGAATGTATTTTTTTTTTTTATTAGACAAGAAAAAAAAAAAAAAAGACAAACTAACACAAACATCTGTGGAGATTCTGAAAAGTTAAAATATTTTCCTTCTCTTAGGTTGGAGTTGTCGATTCCCTGCAGGACTGGTTTTGTAATTTTTTTTTTTTTTTTAACACATGCCATTTTAATGTTTCATGAATAACTTGTATATTCAGAGTTCAGCTACTGGTGCAGTCAAATGAATCCTTGTTGAAAGAGTTACAATTTGAGCTTTTGAACCACTAAAGCAACAGCAGGGAACGTCTACATGAAAACTATCCATGTTTCTGCCTGCCTACCTACCTATCAAAATTTTTTTTTTTTGTTTTTAAATTAAACCTCTTCACACTAAGAAAAATTTATATTGCTAAAACAAAGAACATGTCTAGGTTAAATGTGACTAAATGTCATGGTGGGGGGGAAAAAAAAGTGGAGGTGGAGATACATCTGTGAAATGTTGACAAGATTTGATTTTTTTTTAACCATAAATTAATGATTATATATTATAAGAGTGGAGGGAAAGAAAAGTTCCTGATTATTGCATTTTAATTTTTAAATCAAGCCCAATTTCTTGGCCTTTCTCTGGGATTTGCTGAAGGAAGCAGTCAACTGTTTTATTTTTAATCATAAACCAGAGAAAATGTATCTTTTGTTGACAGGAGTAAGACAGCTTTTACTTTTCACAAAACCAGAAGCAAAACTTTGGCAGCATTGTTGCAAGAACCAAAATTTTGACAGCATTGTTGCAAAATCAATCTTGAAATATTGTAAACACCAATACAATGTAAAAGGTGTTTAAAATGGAGACTGAAATTGAGTGGAGATATTATGTAATTGCTACATACCATAGGTAGGTATATAGTAATTATATGTGCAAATAGATCTGAAGGAGAGGTTTTAAAAAATCCTGAAAACCCGTTTCCTGATTTTTGAAAAGCCCAAAGGCACATTTGAAGACATTGAATTTTCCATATTCAAATTCAAGTCCTTGAATTTCTATGCAGTTTTTTTTTTATTTTTATTTTTTTTTTTTTACGGGGTCGGGGGGATACATCTCCCTCTATAGTTGTTTTAATGAAAGAATTTTCTGAATTAAAAAAAAAAAAAAAAAAATCTCAAAGTTATCTCCCTTACATTTTGGCAATGAAATTTTGAAATGAGTTTTCTATGCCCTAACTAAAAGGGAACAGGATGGTTTCAGATCTAGCACCAATAAAACAGTCTGGAAAGCAGATATGCTATTAGAGTTACTGTCCCTTTTTTTTTTAATTGTAAATCTTAAACTGAAAGAAATTTTTATATATATATATAACACCCTGATGATAAACCTTGGAAATAGTGATGCACAAAATCATGAAAAATTTGGGGGTGGTGACTGCAGTAGAAAATATGTTGACAGGCAAAAGAGATGACAAAATTAAAAGATAATCGACAAAAAAAAAAAATAAAATAATAAAATAAATAAAGAAAAAAAAAAAAAAAAACCAAGGCATGTGTGATGTCTATTTGTTCATCTGTTTACTGTCTGAATATTACACACTTTGCTGTCAACGGTACATTTACTGCAGTGTTTAGTAGTTTTTTTTTGTTTTTTTTTCCTCCAGAAATATCCTGACTACAGCTGCCCTCTCTCTACCTACCTTTCCTTGTTGGACAAGTGTGATTTCTTTTTAAATATTGCTATGGCAGTAAGGTATAAGAGAAGGATGCCTCTCCTCTAGAAAAGTGTTTAGGGAAGCAGCTGCAGTAGACATTGTTCTGAGTTATAATCTCAATCAACACTTAACAGATCTTGCCGTTTTTTTTTTTTTTTTTGTTTTTCCTCTATCTCGTGCTCTGTGGGTCACTAGTGGCGAAATGCTAACATTATTTTGTTCCTACCATTTTCTTAAGATGTTTGATGTCATATGATTTAGGACGCTCAAGGGGAAGACCAAGGGCTCTGTCCCAGATGAGAGAGGCCAGACATCCAAGAGCTCGTGACACACCAAACAACACTGTGTAGTAATTCATTTCAGTTAGGTTGTAATACTGTTGGTTAAAGAAAAAAAAATGTATAAATATTAAAATCCACACAAAGTAAAATAGCATAACAGAAATTAGCTTGAATTTATGAACTAAATTTCTACAATAATTCCTTTGAATTCATTATAAAAAAAAAAACATCTGTACTTGTTTGCAACACATCTAAGAACTAGAAACTGGTTTATTTCCAAATTAAAACTTGCTGAAAGAGGATATTTTGCAGTCTCTTTATGTATGCTTTTTTTTTCCCATCACTTGTAATTAATGGATACCTGACATTGTAGAGCATCTTGTTGAAAAATTCAACAGCTGTTTTTTTTTTTTTCTTTTATTCCTCAATAAGCAAAAATATGGCAAGGATATTTCTCTTTCAGTTTTATTTATTTTAGAATTTGCTTAAATTGCAACAGCAGATGACTACAAAATTGTTTTTTTTTTTTTTACTCCTTGTAAAGTCTTCAAAATTTTATCTAAACCAGATATGAAAAAAAAAAAAAAAAAGTATTTAAAAGCACTTGATATGCTTAGATGTAAACTGGAATTAAAATTGGTATCAAGTCTGAATTATTGCCCATTAGTAAATATTCTCTCAATGTTGATGAAAAATTATTAAAAAGGAACTTACCTGTAATAGGACACCACTGTGGGCATCAACATTGGGCCAAGGATTCTTGGCCTTGCCATGTTGCATCAGAGTATCAGGCACAACCTTATAAAGCTGAGAAACAAGTTTAAACATAGGATCATTAGGAAGGTGTTTCAAGGCAAAATCTCGTTGGCAAGTATAACGAGGATCAGTCTTACGAAGGACAGCATGACCATAGCCTGGTACAACCTAAAAGAAAATTAAATCATCTTAGTATCAAATGTTTCAATATTTTGTAATTGTTCTTTGGAAAGAAGGATAATATTTACAGTTAAAATTAGTTTAATTTTGTTTTCAAAACAAAACATTTACATCTAAAATACATGCTCTTGTGAATAAAACTAAATTGCAGAAAGCATGTCAAAGTTTTAACAAAGATGAATCCATGTCAAATGAATAAACATTACTTCTTTTGATAATTAAATTATTGCTGAAAATATAATGCTCATAATTACTACTGCCTTAAAAAAATTATTCAATAGAATGTTTATAATTTCTCTGCTTCTATGAGAGATATATAAATTCCAGTTGTAGTGGGAAAAAAAAAAGGCCATATGCACATGAACACAAGTAGAAGTTTAAAAATTCTCAATCAGACCAAAAAAGGAAAAAAAAAACAAAAAAAAAAACTGATGTTTGGTCAAGTAGAAAACTTTTCAGCATCCTCCTCGCATAATTTAAACATAAAACAATAAATTATGAAAAAAAAATTCCAAATCTTTTAAGTGATTTACTTACTTGTCCAGATTTGAGTGTATTCCAAATAAAATCTCTGAGTTGGTCATCAGTCACTTCACCTCCAAGTTCTTTTTGTAACTTAGTAAGCCAAACCAACACTTCCTGCAATAGAGAAAACCATTTACCTAACATCAAAAATTATTTTTAGGACACTAGCCACAAATCCCAAGAGCTGTCAATATTTCACTCTTAACAGTAATATATTCCCATGGTGTGTTCAGAGTCTTTCTAAAAGAACACCTACAATATATTCTAAGAAGTGCTATTTTAAATGCAAGTAATTAAAGTTTACTTCTCTTAAATTTAATTTTATATTATTTATGGGAGTATTCATTAAACTATGAGATGCAACCAGTTTATTTTCAAATATAGTGATTTACTTATAAAATTATCTATTATCATAGGTCATATCCATTATTCTGTCAGTCAGCATCTTCATGTATAAAGGTCTCTTGGCAGAACTGGTCAAAACATTCATTGAATGTCAGAAATGAAGAAACTGGTGATCTCTAAAATGACAAGAAAATGTTTTTTTACCATGTCTTCAGTTTGGGCAGCAATAGGTTTTCTCAAGATACAGTCAGTTACTAACTTCTACAAATAGAACATGTAGCAGCAAAAGGAAAGCAGAGTTGGTATGGACAGAACCATAATGGTGTGCCTTAGAGAAAAATTCTCTCATTTGGTTTTTATATCATAAAGAGCATTACCAACCAGTATATCCCTGGTGTGGCAACTGTATCAACTGTTGACTGATGCACAAAACTGAAGGGCTTATATTGAAATTTTACAAGAATTCACTGAATATGAATATAATGCAAGCATCTTTCTTTTTTTTAAAAGATTTTTCAGTATTCAGTTATCTTAAAAATTTAGGAAAATATACTCCGTAATCTAATGCTTTATTGAATTTTAGATACTTTCTCTTTAAGTTTACTATAGATGTCGCTCTTATTTTCTGATAAAAATTTTGGTCTTAGTATTGTACAAGCTTTTCTATTTATGATTAGTAAATACTAATTAAAATTTAAAAAAAAAAAAAAAAAAAAAAAAAATATTTTAAAAATTCATCGAAAACTTAACTCCCCCCCCTCATAGATAAGGTTTACATTAGAGTATTTTTTTCTATTTATGCCCACTTTCCAATATATTTTACAAGATACAACACTGTATCAATGATTTAAAAGAATGTGTACTATTTGGAAGACATATTTGAATTATAATAGTTTTGTTAATGATTAAGAAACTTTTTATCAGTGTAGTATTTCAGCTGAATACTGTCAACAGTTTGTATAGAGTTCTTAATCTATAAAATCTGAAAAGAGAAAAAAACCTCAAAGAAATAAACTTATTACCAATTTTCACATACCTGATTAGCCAGTCCATGGAGAGGGCCAGCCAACCCATTCATGCCCCCAGCAAATGAAAGATAAGGGTCAGAAAGGGCACTACCAACAAGATGTGTTGTGTGAGCACTGACATTGCCACCTTCATGATCACTAAAATAAGAAAAAAAAAAAAAAAAAATTGTGTGTGTGAATAGAATTTCAATAAAAACTAAACATGAAAGCAAATTTATACTATTTTATTATTTCTTTATAAATGCAAATTTTTTATAAATGCAAATTTTCTCAAGAACAAACACTATATGTTATAATGTTTGGCAGAACATTGGATAATTGTCAACTGATTCTAGAATGTTATAAATATAGAATTATTTTTGTAATAAACACTAGTAATGGTGTTTAATATATCTTGTAAATTTTTAAGAAAAAACAAAAAATGTATAAATTCACTGATGTGTTTCGATATTCTGATTCTAACCATTGCATTTTACAACAATAAATATTGCTAAATATATTGAGTGGTTGGTTGGTTGGTTTTGTGGCATATCAACCTCAGTGGGTCATTTAATGCCAACAAAATTTTTTAAATAGATTCATAGCGATAGTTTGGTAAAAAAAAGGTGTGTATCACAGCTGTTTAAAAGCCTTGTTTTTGTCATATATGCGTGTAAACGAAATATTCGGCGAAAAATCTCATTCATCAGTAACATTTTAAACACCTCAGAATGTAAAGTTCTTAAAGCAAACCTATGCCAAACTGTTTTCCTGAATCCTTGATGACTTGGCTGTCCAAAAATGACAACATCAAGATGAAATAATGGAAATTGACCCTGAAAAACAATCATGCACAACAAGTTTTTCAATCAATCATTAAACCTTTTCAGGCGACATTATAGCATCCAGACGGCTATTGTTTGCACATGGAATTATTCACTGGTAATTAATCTTCGATTTGGCTGTGGAAAATGTCCCTCAGCAATGTATTAAGAAATTATGCCCAATTTGAGAAAAATAACTTTTTTTTTTATGAAAAAATATTTATTTTCGCTTCAAAATAATATTATTCAAACTTCATTCCTTTCTTTCATCTGGCATGAACATCATTGAATAAAAGGAACGGCTAAATGGCCCAGCGATGGTAAATACAAAAGATAGCAGACAACATTGTTTTTTTTCGCTGCATAAGTGTTGTTATCACCCGGGTCACGTGGTGTTAAACAAAACACATCAAGCCATTGTTCAAACATAGGTTATATCAATCCCTACTAATGTTGACCCCCCACTTTTTTTTTTCACTCTTTGCTCTTTATCTGGGAGTGGTGGGTTTTATTACAACTTATTCTAAATGTTTATTGCTGGCTAACCTTTGACTCAGAGATGTCAAAGTCAATTTAGTTTAATTTTCCTTATCGCTGCTATTTTTTGGAAAAAAAAGAAACTTTTGTTTTCTAGTGGTCAGGAATTGCAGATAAATCTTTCGCCTTTTACTAAAGATTTCCGTGATTGGGTGTCAATGTTTTTTTAACCCCTGTCAGCCATATAATTGAAAACTACCAATGGACTGTCGCATTTTGACCCTCCCTAGGAATGTTGACTTACTTCAAAAGTCTCAATTTCATGCCATAAATAGTTTAATTATGATTTAGGCTTTCTAATTTAAAAAAAAAAAAAAAAAAAAAAAGTTTATTTCCCATTAATGGGGAAAATTTTTGTTTAGAACTAGAAAAAAGGCAAAATTTTCACTATTTTTTCATATTTTACCCACCTGAAAAAAAATTTTGATTCATTTACACCAGCCAATTTTACTTTTAAATGAAAGAATATATCCTTTGCTTTCAGAAAATACCTAGTTTCATGAGGTTCAAATCAAAAGTTCCCTTGATATTTGTTTAGATGATAAGTCATTTTTCAATATTTTACCCCTATAAAAGTATGAAAATCCATTTTTTTTTTTTGAGAGAAAATAAGCTGTGACAAAATGACTTGCTATTTATGTGATGATTTTTACTTGGAATAGAAAATTTTTACCATAGCAAACCTGAATTGACTATTTAAGTTCAGTGGGGTTATAGGAAACCTCAAACAGCTGTGGTATGTATACATATGAACCATTTTTCAATTACTCATATTTTTGAGTACAATCCAACTTCTTTTAGGAAATTTACAATCTTGGATGGTTTTATTTTCATAAAAAGTTTTTTTTAAATTACTCACTTGGTAATATTTTGTTCACACTAGATCAAAATCTACACTAACATTATATGTTTCACTGTATATTTCTCTTGGCATATAGTGCATATTGGGGATTCTGTGCCCTCTAGTAAATAATGGTGGGTGATGTAGGTGTGGCCTATGTGAAGGCGGGTCACCATGACCTGTTCTCTTCTATCTTTTGTATTCTGAGTTCCATTCTCCAATAGTGGGTTTAATGTTTTCAGAGTTTGTTATTAATGAATGTATTCCAACGATGTGACCATTTTTTAATGATAAAATCGGAGTATGGAACCTTTGTTATTGCATCCTTCATGGCTTTTTTGCCTCCAAATCCACCCTGTCATTTCCCAGTATCCCAAGATCGCTTGGGATCCAACAAAAGATTATTTCTTTATTTTTAGACAAGTGGTAGATTCTATTTAGTACTTGTGTGGTTAAAGGGGTCACTAACATTTATTTTTTAATGCAGTAAGTGCAAATAAAGATTGAAAATTATGAATTTATTGTGGGGTGTTGTGGTTATTATGTCAAGTGCTAAATTAATAGCAATTATTTCAGCACTATATATTGAAGCTATGTTTGTAATTCTTTTCCGTTGCTTATTCAGTTTTAGTATGCCAGCACATCCTATATATATATATATATATATATATATATATAAAATAATGGTCCGAGTGATTATTTTTAATATTCAGTATTCCAGACTGGTATACAATAGGGTTTTTTGAATTTTGGATATCTTGTAAGGTCTAAAATTATTTTAGGGGGTGTAGATGAAGTAATTGATTTGTGAATTTGTGTTGTAGCTATCAGGTTTTCTTCTATGATGTTTTTAATGCATAAACTGAGAGGTTTGATGGATTTTTCTTTTTACTGGAAAAGTTCTGTGTATTGTGGTTGGAAAGTATTTAGCAGGCATGATGATAGTTTTAGGTAGTATTGGAGAGTAAGCTTTTCACATCTTAGTTTAATAGATGGTTCATTTGCTTCCGTGCATAAGCTTTCAACAGGTGAGGTGCTTTATGCTCCAAGGGCTAGTTTAAATACTTGATGGTGTATAGTATCAAGTTCTTTCAAATATGTTTTTCTGGCTGCTCCATATATAAAGCAGGCGTAATCAAGTTTTGATCTGATTAGAGAGCAATGTAATTTTAATACCGTTTCTTTGCTTCCTCCCCAATCAATGTGTGCCATGGAGCTAAGTAATTGTATAGCTTTATTACATTTGGATCTCAAGTATTTGATATGGGGAATAAAGGAGAGTTTGCGGTCAAAAATGACTCCTAAGTAATTGTACTGTTCTACAACTGAAATTTCAGTGTGGTCAATTTTCAGTACTGGGACAAGAAGTGGACACATTTCGTTTGTTCTGTTGAAAATTTTAGTCCATTCTCTGTGGTCCATTTGTTGAGCTTATGAAGGCATATCTGGAGTTGTCTTTCTATATGGTTCGTATTTCTTGCTCTTTAACATATCAGGAAGTCATCCACATACAAAGCACAGTTTCTTCTGATATTTATGTTTTTTTTACAATATCATCTATTTTGATATTAAACAGCATAATGGACAATACACTGCCTTGAGGTACACCCATTTCTTGTTCTTTTTCTTCAGAGAAAATATCTCCTATTTTAACTCTGAATCTTCTATCTTGCAGGAAATTTTTGATAAATATTGGCATTTGACCTTCTACCAAGTTTTTTAAAGGTCTTTTACTATGTCGTACTTCCACGTTGTCATATGCCTTTTCAAGATCAAAGAAAACTGCCACTAGAGGCTCTTTTTTAATAAAAGCCTCTGATAAATGTTTCTAAGTGGATCAGATGATCCATACAGCTTCTTTGACTTCTAAAACCAGATTGATATTCAGTTATTAATTTGTTACTTTCTAGATACCAGATCAATCTGGCATTTATTAAACCCTAGTGTTTTGCATATAACTGCTAAGAGTAATACGTCTGTAGTTTTTTGTATTTGTATTGTCTCTCATAGGTTTAGGTATTGTTATAACTAGTTCGTTTCCATATTTTAGGTATGTCACTGCTTTTCCATATACTATTATAGATTTGTAGGAGGTAATTCCTAGATGGTTTGGGTAATTTTTTTAGGAATTGATAGTGAATTTTGTCTGGTCCAGCTGCTGTATTATGGGCCTTGTTGAGGGATTCCATCAGTTCTGTAGTAGAGAAAGGTTGGTTGTAGCTTCCAGTATTTTTGTTTTGGATTTCTGTGGATGAATTTTGCAAGAAATCGCATCGGTATTCTTTTGGTTATTGTGGGCAAGATATTTGGTAGGGGTATTGCTATTTTTTTCCAGTTATCTTCCAAATCATCTGCCATACTTTTTTTTTGGTTTTGTGTTATTTATTTTGGCAACATAATTTTTCCATGTATTTCTTTTGGATTCTTTGATGATTTTTCAGGCTTTGGTTCTGCTATTTTTATAGGTGTTTAAATTTTCTCATGTTGGGTTTATTTTAAATTTCTTTAGTGCCACTGCGTAATCTGACATCTTTTTTGCATTCCTCATTGAACCATGGCCTATTGTATTTTGAAGAGGTGGAGCTTTTTGGCATATGTTTTCGGCTATTTTTAACAGCGTGTTAGTATTTATAGGATATCTTCTTCATTGTTTTTATTGGCTTCTGTAGTTAGTTCGACTAGACATGAAGTTTTAAATCCATCCCAATTAGCCTTTTCTAAATTCCAGCTAAGAGTTTTTTTTTTAGTTTGTTGGTGATATTTTCTAGTAGAATCAGAAAGTGGTCACTTCCACATGTGTCATTATGTACTTTCCAGTTATAATTCAGAAACAGGTTAGGGTCACATATTACATCTATTGCTAGATATAGGCATGTGTTTGATTCATTTTTATACATGCATAACTAATGTTTGTTTAATACCGATTCTATTATTTTGTCCTTTTTGTCCATTTTCTTGATTCCCCAGATCTCATTATGGCTGTTGAAGTCCCCCATTATAAGAAAGATTCTTGGTAGTTGTGATATCAAATTGTTTAGCTCCGATTCTTTCAGTTCTTCACTTGGGGGAATATATAGTGAACACACTGTTATTGTTTTGTTGAGGGTTGCTGATATAGCTGCTGCTTCCATATTGGTATTTAGTGTGATTTCACTGTGCAGGATATTGTTGTTAATGAGTACTGATGATCCGCTACAAGGTCTATCAGTGTGCTGCTTAATATAGTTGTATGATTGATAGTTTTTGATGTTGATGGTATTGTTTTTGAGATGAGTTTCTTGAAGGCATATGATTGCTGGGCAGTATTTTGTTATAAGAAGCAATAATTCAGTGATTGACTCTTGCTCCTCTGATATTCCATTGGATGATTTTATTGTCCATATAATTTTAATTTTGGGGGTCTACATGTTTTTTGAGATTTTAGTTTTTACCCTTGTGGGTAAAGGCTCCTCAACCTCCATTTTTTTCCAATAGATTATGCCTGTTTTTAAGCTCCACAGGAGCCGCTGCCTTGACTTGCCTGATGTATTCCTCTTTGGGGAGGTCTTTGTCACCCTTATTCCATTGTTCACCTTGCATGTTAGTGGACAGATGGGAAATCTTTGGTGTTTTGATTTAGAGGTAGTCTTCGCAGGAGAATGTGGTATGTTTTCAGCTTTCGCTTCACCATCAGTTTCCAGCTCCTGTGATTCCTCTTGAGCTCCATAAGTATTTCTAAAGGTGTTCTTGAAAATTTGGCCACTCATTTGTAGTCAAATGTAGCAATTTTCTCTATCAGTTCACCGTATTTGAATTTTTTGTTCATTGATATTTGTTTTTTTGTGTTACATAGGCATACAACTGCACTCCCATATAGGAGTCTACAATCCTTCTAGCCTCTGGAAAGGAAACATTTCTTTTGTGTTTAATTTACACCGCCTCTTATTCTTTCCTATAAACTTCAGTCTCTGGAGAACGCAGGATGGTTCTCATGACAATTGGTGCATCTCCTTTCTCTCTGGCATTCCTCTTCCATATAGGCTGGATTCTTTTCCATGTCCTCGGCATATGTCTTTGTGGTGTCCAAATCTTCAGCACTTAAAACACTGCAAGGGAGCTGGTATATAGAGTTCCACTCTGTCGACCGTGAAACCTATTTTAACTTCCCTTGGGATAGTGGGCGAGTCAAACGAGTATATATATATATATATATATATATATATATATATATGTGTGTGTTGGCCAGTATACTCTCACCATTCCTCTTAATGCTAATTCTTTTGTAATTGGTGACGACCCGCCTTCGCAGTGCTGTTTTTATCTCTTCTGTTGCTAAGCTCAATTCTTGACTTATGACTCCCTTACAAGTGTTCAACCTATCATGCAGGTAAGCCTTACATTTATACTTATGGAACTTTTCCATTTTTAGTAAATTTTCGGCATGTTTTTTTCTCAGTTACTTCTACCAATAGGTTTCCATTTCTAATTTTTTTTTTTTTTTTTTTTTTAACTGATTTCAGATTCAACCTGCTAGTTATTATCCTTTCAATGAGAAAGGGTGATAATTTACTTATAGAATTAATGGAAGATGCACCTCTGACTATAAATTTTGAGAATTTGTTATTTTCTGTGTCAGAATCTGATTCTGAGAGGTTTCTTTTTGTTTTTTTTTTTAGAAAAGCCATATTTAAGGTTTAGTTATTCATTGGTCCTATGCTCCTTCACCCGCCACGGTTGGGAATTAACCAAAGGGGAAACCCATTCACCTTGGTTGAGACGAGGGATACACACCAGTATACTACAGCTGGGGAGTAAAACTCTAAGTCCCTGTCAATTTCAGGTTTCAGTAACCAATACCAAGTACCATGTAACACATCAGTGGTCAAAATCTCACTCTCAACATAATTGACCCTGAGCTGCCGCCTTCTAGCACCTATAAGAGGGTTGGGTATTTGCCATAAATGCAGACTGAATAATACAGTCAGGGCTAAATAAATTGATCGGATCAGGCCTATCCGACTGCCCGTCAGACCAAATAAGGGCCAAAGTGGGGTGTTGCTAGTCATTGACCACGCCATTATCGGATCAGTGACTGCTCAACCACAAGGATTCCGCTAGTCATTAACCACGCCATTATCGGATCAGTGACTGCTCAACCACCAGGATTCCGTCCTAGCGCCTTATGGGTAGCCGCCCATGGCCAACAGATAGCCCATTTTTGTTACCCCCTCCACAGAGGTGCAATCGGCATTTTCTACAACTCCAGACCACAGGGTACTGCTAAAGAGTGAAAGTAGTTAAATCCATTATACATGTTAAACAAGTTTTGTAATTTGAAAAGTCAATTCATTTGTTTCCATAGTACTCCCTGCCTTACAGGAAAAAAAAAAATTAATCCTTTATAATTGGTGCTAAAAAAACTACAATTATAGACATTTTTGACACAAAAGAAAGCAACTATGTGTAAGTAATAAAGCACCTCAAACTAAAATGCTTTTTTTTTTTCTTTAAAGATCTTATTTGGACCAAATTTTTAAATCTAAAAAAAAAAAAGTAATATTTTGAAAAATATTTCTCTTGTGTTACCTGTGAATGGTGAGATAAAGTCTCATAAGTTCTGTGAATGCTGGATCCTCAAAGCCCAACATGGATGTAAAGTTCCATGTCCAATCCTTGTCAGGATCAATGGCGCCAACAGACGTTCCATCACGATATAAATTCCGGTAAATGATTGCTGCCACAGTTGGCAACTTTGCAATGAGATTCATAGAGTCTTCATACACAAGCTACAAAGATAAAAAGAAAAGTTCAAAACTAAGACAACTGGTATACAAATGGTGCCTGTCTATTCTCTCAAGTCCATATATTGGGGGGGGGTTAACAAAAATAAGACTGATTTGATAAAAATATTATATTGAGAAATAATTTTTATTTTTCCATAATTTATCCACTTCAATGTTTAAATTTGTCATATATGAATGAAAAGTGTTACTGCTGACACCAGAGTTTGAACGTGAATCTCTAGACAATGGAAATGTAGACCACTATTTACTATAGAGAAATACCCCTGACTGGGTGGTTACAAATATGCATTAACTATTATGTTAACCCAGACGTTAAAGTTGAGTATTCTGTTTCAAGACATTTCTAGCAGCTCTATGCAGTCGTGTTTTAACTGATAAGTAATCAATATTTCCATTGACTTTACTTTTTTGTTGTTAATGTATTTTAATTGCGTCTGGTAATTAAATACTTTATTTTACATTGAAGTCTTTCTGTTATTACTTGTATTATGTATGCGTGATGGATTACAAAAAAATTGGTATAGAATTCATGAACCTACCAAATTTCTTGTAATTCGCCAACAATGTTTGTAAAATGCTTAAAATATTCTATTATTCTTTCACTTGAATTTATAATTTCTCATTCACACTACATGAATACAACAAGTATTATCAAAAATTACTCTTAATACGAAGAAATTCACATAAACAAATGGTGATATGAAATTAAGTTTATATGTAATACATTTAACTTACCTCCCAGTATTTGCTTTTGTGTACACCATCAGCATATGCCTTAGCAAATTTGCTTTCACTGTTCAAAGCAGTGATGGCAGCACTGAATTGTGACATCGGGTGAAGATTGCTTGGGAAGTTGTTCAACATGGTGATCACATGGTTGGGTAAAGCAGCTCGCTCATTCCACTCCTACAATAAAATTTCAATGTTAATTCTTTAAATAATAAAACAAACCACCACTATCATTACGACCAAGTGGTTATTTGTTGTTAAAAAGCTCAAATGTATATTTACTACTCAACAACTACCAAACTTCAGCTAATGTAAACTGTTGACCTGTTCTACCTGCAAGTGAAATTGAGTTCTACATAAACATGGTTTTTCCAATGGGATCAAATCTATGCCTTTGGCTGGGATTTATATTCTTTAAATTTTAAGCCCAAGAGCAGGGAATAAAGAAAACTAAACATTATTATTTGAGGGGAGGTGGGTATTCTGTCTTGAATCACAATGATTCAAGATTTTGAATAAAAACTGAAACTTTCAGTTTTATTATTAAACAATGATTTTCTTTACAATTTACATTGATATGAATTGGTAAACTCAAATTTAGTATATTTTAATGCTGTGTCTCATTAGGACATAAGCAGTCAAGGCTCTCCAGAAATTCCTTTATAATCTGTGAATTGCCATAATTTCATGGGATAGAGAATAGTGTGGTTTGCTGTTGCCTTCTCCATGGTTTTAAATTCAGTGTTGAATGTCAAAACAGGAACTGGTAGTAAGTGGATAAACATTGGTTACAGCTACAAAGGTTAGGAAGTTGTGGAGAGTTATAGTCGGCCACATTCTAAAGGGACAGTGCATCAAAGAAGAGAGCTGTTTCGTACACTACACACACATATAGGTCAATCTCCTTGAAACATCACAATTAGGATTACCCACCCACCTAAAGAAAAAAAAAATAATGCTCTATACTGGATACTAACAAATAAGTCACTTGACCAATATTAAAAAAAAAAAAAAAAAAGCAGTGACGTGTAAACCAAGTCATTCTTATATCTGCAGACTTTGATGACATACTGCACTAATATAATAACTGAAATGGGCTCAGAGACAACACATTTACCAGACATACTTTGTTTACATTTCTGAGAGGCGGTATTGTAACTATTTACATTGTTGTTGTCTTTATTGTCATTCACGTTTTGCCACTATACCCACCGACCATCTTCAGGTAATACATTGTGATTTTGAATTGAACCCTTTCAGTTCATTCATCGGAGTAGATTGTTCAACATGCTTTTCTGGATATCTGTTGCAGTTATTTCCCTTTAGTAACTCCAGTTTTTTTGTTCGCTTCTGCTGTGGACAAGTCACTGGATTACTTCAACCAACGCTTTTATTCACATGTCACAGTTAGGGTTATTTAATGCCAACAAGATTTTTCCGATATGTTCGTATGTATAGAGTATGTATCCTTTGTAAGGAATCATTTTGTAGATCAGGTTTCACTGACATATTTCATAAAGAGGAATTTTGTTGAGAGTCAAAAGGTATCACTGGAAATAATTTTTCCTTCCAAAATAGGTTACAAAACAATGTAGGTCGTTTTTTTTATATATATATATATATATATATATATATATATATATATATATATATATATATATATATATTTTCCTGTAGAGCCCAATTTCTTTAATGAAATTTAAGATGTTATTTGGATCGATATTTTCAAATAAATCCTTTAAGTTATCCAATCAGTAATTTAGTAGAATGTCTTTGACAGTATATAGTTCCTGGCATGGGACACATTGGCACTTTCTCATTTTTTATTAGATGTTGGTGGGTTATGTATGTGTGTTGTATATGGAGTCTGGCTAGAACCATCTCTCCTCTCCTTATCTTTCTGTAACCTGACAGTCTTTCACTGATGATTGGCTGGATGTTGAGAAGTTTATTGTTTACATAGTTGTTCCATAATTGCTGCCATTTTTCCTGTTTATGCTTGTTCAGAAGTCGATGTGTGGCATCTTTACATTAGAGGGGGCCATGATCAGCAATTGCTTTGCCGTTTTGTCAGCTTTTCAATTTCCTTGTATGCCAGTATGGCTCGGTAACCAGCATAGGATTATTATAGCATCTTTTCTTATAGAGCCAATCTTATTTAATAATTTGTTTAAGGGTTTTCCCGTTTTTATTCTTCAGAGCTGTGAGTACAGATGGTAAATTTGAGAAGACCACATGGCACAGTGAAGTGTACAACAGCCAAAACGTGAATACCACAAGATGAGGACAACAGCCTGCCTGAACAATGTAAAAAGTGTTCTTTTCTTTATAAATTTGTGCAATTATTTTCATTTATTGCTTATATCAATATTTTATTTATCACTCTCCTTGATTGTCAAAACATTTTACCATTATATACAATGACATTTTAAAATAAAATAAATTTCTAACTTGTTTATATTTTTAACACAAAAAAAAAAACCCCTCTCTAATGCATATTTGATAATTTCAACAAGTTCTCAAATTTTATTTAGATGAAAGAAATTTCAGGCTCGTTTTTAAATTCTACATTTTAAACGTTTGAGGACAGACCAAAACTTTTTTACCTTGGAAATTGCATCCACTTGGCTCTGATTTGGGACATTGCCTGTCACCAACAACCAAAACAATCCTTCAGGCAATGGTTCTTCACCTCCACCATGAGCTTTAGGCAAAATCTCCTGACATTCTGGAATACTATATCCACGGAAACGGATGCCCTCTTCAGCATCTAATACAGAGGTTTCTGTCAGGAGGCCCTTGATGCCACGCATTCCTCCAAATATCTACAGATGAAATAAATATAATTAATACAATTCTCTCAGTTAACCAATTTTATGTGCACACCTTTAAACAATGTTTTCTTTAAAAAAAAAAAAAAAAAGAAGTATTTATAACAAAGTGAATGACGGATGTCAAACATTAGGTTCACATACAATACAGATTATTTCATTAATAATGTTAGTTACTTTTGAAATGATATTTATTGTTAATATTGTGTAGCTTAAACATTTAGTATTTCTTAAATGTTATTAAAAATGTCTCACTTAATTCAGAAATATAGTTTTTGACTGCAACAGCTGTCATAACAGCATGATTAAAAAAAAAAAAAAAAAAAAAAAAGATTCTCATTGAAATAAGGTTCAGGCAATTTATGAAGAAGGTACTGTGATCAAATATACCCAAAGTGGTTTGCAGTTTTCTACCAAGATTTTCTTAATTCTTTACAGTTGGGGGATGACAAATTATTCTCAAGTAATGTAGTTAACACACAGGAAATCAAACCTGGTTATGATCGTCTCTGATATAAAGCTTCCACTGAAATTCATAAGTTTTTTTTTTTTAAAAAGCAAATTGTGATTGATGTATCTTACTGGAAAACCCAAACCAAATACTGTTTGGTCAGTTGAAAATGGTAATCAATGAAAAGTATCCAGAATAATGATAGACTGTATATGCCTTTGCAATTTGGTTGAGAAGTTTTCACTCACCCACTTTATTCAGCAAATATTGTCCCTTTAGATTACCATTTGACACCATTGCAAAATTAACTGCATTTAAAAAAAATATTTCAAATTTCTAGAAGAAAGCAAAAAAGGCAGAAAGAGTAATACTTTGGGAAGATGAAGTTGGCAGAAGCTAGAGCAAAACAGGAAATATTGATCAATAAAATTAATGATGAAATTAATTTTTTTTTCATAACCCAATACTTGAAATTGGATCTGCAGTTAATGTAGATTATATTAAATTAAAAGCAATTATTTTTTTAAAGAGATGACTAAACTACTTGAAATTTTAATAAAACTAGCTGGATCTGCCAAAATTGAGTGTTGACAACTAAAATCATTCATTTTCTCCTGCTTCTGCTCTTATCTTTTGCCTGTATCTTCTCATTCTCTCCCTTATCCCTCATTAGTTTTATATACAAATAAAGAATGCACAAATTCCTCTAATTTTGTTCTCATATCACACCATAAAGAGGTTCAACATATTGCAGTTTTTACACCTCTAACATTCTAATCTGTCTCTTGATAGCCAATAAAGTTGTGTCTGCATCTTTCATCTTCATTCCTTCTCCATCCCTCTAATATATATTTTTCCTTTCATGTGATTTTATTTCTAGTTTACTTACCTCTTACTCCCCTTCCTTCACACTATTATCTCCTTCCATCCCATCATTTTTATCCCAATTGCTTCCTGTTTAATTTTATTACATAGGTAGAAAGCATCAGTGGCAGCAGCACTAGCTCACAATGAAGAGCTATCAGGCAGACAGTATGCTGATCCCAGGTAGAAAAGTAAATTGGTTGTATAGACAAACAAGCAATACAAATCCTAAAATAAAATTTAAGTTAAGAAAAAGTTGAAATTATTTGCCAAGTTTGCTATACATTTTATATATATATATATATATATAGCAAACTTGGCAAATAATTAACTTTTTATATATATATATATATATATATATATATATATATATATAAATAAACACACAGAACTATCAAATCTTTGACTTATTGTTGTTCTTAGTAGCCCTACTTATTTGAAAAGTTGGTTATAAAAATAAAATATTCTAAAGACTTTGACAATGACATTCAGATAAAATTTAATATTTTACTATAGAAATTAAGCAAGTCAATTTATAAATACAACAATTATCAACTATTGCTAGTCCACTCTTAAAAGACAAGGCTTCTCTCAAATCTTTCCATAACAACAGTAACTTTTCTAAGTAAAAGGTTACTTCAAGATAAGACAATCTTAAAAAAAATTTACATTATTGATATAATGAAATGGTAAAAATAATTCAAAATTTTATTTAATATTTACTTAGATGCTACTATTTAGTTCAGTGTTAAGTTACAATTTATAAAATTTATAATTATATTGCAAATAAATTTGCAAAATAATTATTTTGCAACTATTCTGTAATTAACTAAACTCAAACTACATGTAAAATTTGAACTTTGCTCGATTTGTACTATTCATCCCAAATCAGCAAGATTTTGGCTTATAATTTAGAAAACTTGCTTTCTACAATAAAGTGTGGAAAGGTTCATGATGGAAATGTGACTGTTTTCTGCACATCATTTACTACACAACTATGATGATGTCCAAAGTCAACTGTGTCTGCATATATGCCCAACTCACTATGTTCACAGGTTTGTCTCTTTGGCCATGAGTGAATTCAACAAAGAATAATGACAAATGCTTTTCAAGACTGGTTGGGAAATAGCAACAATATGAATTCTCACTAAACTGCCAATGTTTTCCTTCAGCTTCAATGGTAAATTGCTATCTCCCTAACTTTTGACCACCAAAAGAGGACCCTTACATTCACTGACCATCTAAGCAAATGCTGATTTCTCACTGCTTGCTGGTCACCTACTCACTGCTGATGTCCTGCCTCTCTACTTATATGGATAGTGGCTGGTGCCCCTGCTCCTTATCTGGTGTTCCAGAAAAGTAGACCACCCAAGAAACTGGATGAGTGGTCAGTTTCTTCAAAAAGACACTACTTTTATGATTATATAAAATCATTAACAAAATTTTATGTTTGCCAATTTAAAGGCAGGCTGGAGACAGGAATCATAAAAACTGGCAATTAAGTGGACTCAAAGATGGATTGGAGACAAAATTCTTAAGAAACTCAGATAATTAAGTGGACTTAAAAGGAAAAGGAATTTATCTACTTATCCCCTAAGAGTGTGAGAGAAATAGTATTGTTACAATCCTTCCCCACCAAATTGTCATTTATTATATAAATTACAATAACAAAACTACAGAACAATCAATAAAAACAAAACAAAAAAAAAAAAAAATAATTAAAAGAAAGTACAAAATCAATATTTCATGTGCAGCTCAAAACAGACCTCTACATAGTTCCATAAAATAAAAGATGTACATGGACCCTAACCACCTCTGAATTTAGCTAAACCCAAAAGAACAATAAATTCTGGATAGGCCCACACCTCTTGAAACATTGTAATATACCAGAGGATGGTTAACAGCCCTTCTTTTCTGTTCAAGATATTTCAAGAGGATTTCAAGCATCTCTAGAAAAATGTTACATTACAAGGAGTGTCACTCTCCAGACCTTCTAAAGAGAAAAACTATACCAAAAGCAGCATGGGGATTTTAACTACCCTTTCACATAAGTCAGAACACAGAAAGTGTAATTTCCAACCTGCTAAAATAAACAACACCTCTTGAATTCGTTTCCACTTCATGGCATCCCACCCCAAACACACCCCCCCTGCAAAAAGACATTTTAGTATAACAAAAACCAGTTTTACCCCCCCACCCCATCAAAACAAAAACTAGAGAAAATGGGGAGTGTTATCACATGACCTTCCTCATAAAAGAAGATGCACAATGATTACATTTACTTTTTCAAAAATAAAAAATCAAAAACATATGTTCTCGTTGGGGGGGGGCGGTTGAGATACCACAACAATGTTCATCTTCAGTCCATTAGTGGGTTCCCATGTTGTATAAAAATCAGATGCACATTAGGGTGAAAATATCTTTCTTTTTAAAAGAGGTCATAATTCACATTGTCCTTTTCTCCAAAAAAGGAACCAAAATGTGGAATAGAAGGCTACAAATGTTGTTGTTTCCCCTCCCCTTTTCTTCGGATTTCACACATGTAGTAGGAAATTGTAGCCTCTCTCCAATGTGTCCAGCTTCTGGGGCACTATGAGGTCCATTAATCTCTTCAGCCTCGCATTCTCTCACCAGCTCATTGTATACTTTACACTTCTTCAGCACAAGTCTCTCATAATCCACTAAAAGAAACACTAGCACTATAATAACCATATTTCTACCTAGTGACAACTAAACTATATTTGCTGTTGGGTCCACCTCAGTTTTCTGCACACTATGTCTAAATTGTCCACTAATTCATGTAAATCTACTGGTTTTATTAATTGGGGTAATTTGCATGCAGTTTCGTTTGTTTTCCTTATTCGGGGCTCCCACTGCTTTATATACCTGCTACTCAAAATATCTACCAGGGCCAGAGACGAGTCCTGGGTTCGAAAGTTTTCCTCCACCCAACAGCAAGTTGGGAAGGCTAAAGTTTTCCCAAAGGCAAAACAACCTGAAGTTTGATAATGGAGATTTGGTAGCTCTTACAGTCACTGTCAGTTTTCTTATGCACACCCCTAATAAGTCCAGTTCGCAGTCTATGGCCTGTACATTCCTAATTTGCTTCAACCCTTCTAGGTAACTCTTACTAATTATCCACTTTAATCTGATGATTACCACTATGATTTCAATATACCAGCCAGGATTATGAGGATGAATAGCAACAATACCCTCACAAAAGGTACCACCAGCACTATAAACATGACCTGCTGAAAAATTCCAGGGGGAATCGGCCAGTCTGGAGGGCATAACTCTGAATTGGTACAACCCAACGTGACAGGCAAATTTGAGCAGTGAGAAATGGTGGCTGGAAATTAGGGAGATAGTAGTTTACCAACAAAACCAAAGGAAAACATTGGCAGTTTAGTGAGAATTCATATTGTTGCTATTTTCCAACCAGACAGTCTTTGATCACTGCCAAGGAGACAAACCTGTGAACATAGCAAGTTGGGTGTATATGCAGACACAGCCAACCTTGGACATCATAGGGTCTATCCCTGTTGCGGTGACTGAGCTGCCATGGAAATAAAATAAAGAAATAAAATTGGGGAGGGGCAGAAAGAGGAAGTAGAAAAGAAAATTTTTTTTTTTTTTTTTTGTTCACACACATCAAGAAGAGAAACAATGAATATAGCAAAAGAAAACAAAATGATTGATAGAGGCAATAGTTTTTTTGTTTTTTTTTTAATCTCTCCCTGCCTCTTGCTGGCAGTGTTTATTTTGTCCAGTGACTTTTTTTTTTGTTTTTATTTTAGTGGTAATTTGTTTTTTCCTCTTAGCAAGAAAAATATATTTTTTTTTTTTTTTTTTTTTTTTTAATATATATATATATATATATATATATATATATATATATATATATATATATAAGAATGTAATAAAAGTTGAACAGGAAATTTTTTTATTTTTTTTTTATTAAAGTTACAACTTCATAAAAATTGTTTAGAAGTGTTGTTTTTGATCTGGTAACAAAAATAGTCAGTAATTTGATCATTACATTTATACAATAAAAGGAGATTTAAAACCAAAACAGAACAGGAAAGCAAATCAAAAATATTACTTTTTATTCTTAAATATACACAATAAGGAGAGAACTGTTTCTCATTTATGAAAACAGAAGAGGCAAAATATTAACTAATGTGGAAAAACTAATCCCTTTAGAATGACAGTAAAAGGACAATTCTTTCAAGTTCCAATTCCATTTGTTATATTCACTTATGTGCAAATACCCTTGGGAAAGGTATGAATCCACCTGTTCTCTCTCCAATTATGGGTTAATTACTTAGACTTGTATCACTAAATCATTATTATCTCCAAAAAATAAAATAGAATTGCTTATTTAGATTTTGGCATTAAATAGCCCATAGAGGTTGATATGCCATTAAACAAAAACCAACCAACCAAACCACAAACTAATTTAAAACAAATATCACAAAAAGAAAAGTACAAAATTAAAAATCATGCTGGAAGGAATACTTGCTACTTCATTTACATAAGATAAAAAGTGGTTTATCTTGGATTGGTAACATTGCCAATTTTATGGTAACATGTACTTATCTACGACAACGTTTAGCTTAGTTTGTTTAAAGGTCATACTGACAAGCACAAATTGAAGATTAATTTACAAAAACAATAGGCTGTTAAACATCATCATGGCAAGTGTTCATTATTTTATGATATAAAGATTATGAAAAGAGCGGGGGGGGGGGTATGTAAAAATTTGTCAGGACAATGAATATCCCCTCAGGAAAGAGATAAAACAACTTAAATCTAAACTTAAAATTAAAACTAAGTGTCAAATGAGAAAGTTACAGACACAGCAAAGAATGTGAGAATTAATATCAAGAAATATACACTGACATTCCATTAAATAATGTCTAAGCTAAGGTTAAAAAGCATCAGTGGCAGGTAAGACAGGTAATTTGTATCTTGAAATAGATCATGTAAAAGAAAGAATTGCAAAGAGCAATAATGCAGAAAAACAGGTCAGCAAAGAAAATAAAATGACCTACAATTTTCACAATTCATTCTACTTCAGGTGTACAGGCTATTAATCTGTAAAGTTGTCAACCAGCCAATCTTAGAGGTTGTTTGTAGGAATGGAAAATGAACTGGGTCTCATGAGGAACTTCTGATGACAATTGACAACATGCTTAAGAAAATGTTAGTGTAACTTGTGTCTATTCAGTGCAAGAAGAAAAAAAGAAATGGATACTGATAAAATAAGATTTAAATAACACTTAAATCTCAATTAAAAAAAAAAAAAAAAAAAAAAAAAATTATAATGAAAGTATTGAAAGAAAAAAAATGCTTTTGCTAGATTATCGATTTCAAAGCTATAATTCACTCACAGTAAATTGATAGAAGTTTCTGGCATTGCCAAAGACAAGACTACAGTGATAACATTAATTGCAATACAATTATATGCACACAACCTAACCTAATCTTTTTTCTCATAGCCAATGAACATTTCTATTAGGTCTGACGAAGAATAGTTAAAGTTTGTAATTTTTCTTTGACAAGAAGAGATGGAGTCATTCCGTTTTTAATGACAACAGCAGCTAATGGTAGGCAAAAGGCCTTCAGACTATGATTCAAAATGAGAAACTTCAGCATTACTGTCATAAATTGAAATTTACTACTGCACTTTTGAATGTGTAAAAATCAAAATGGGAATAGAGTCTTTAACTAAAGACTTTCTCTGCTAAATTGGATTGACCATTAAACTATTTAAATGTTTTTTTTTTTTCTAAAATGTATCAATAAAAAAGGGATCTTTATTTTTATTTAAAAAAAAAAAAAAAAAAAAAAAAAAAAAAAAAAAAACTTATTTTGTTTCAATTTTAATTAATGATTTCATTTGGTCACATGAAATGGTTATGCTCATGGCTTGGATCATTAAACAATTTAACATTTAATTTTTGCATTTAGCTTAACTTTAAACAAAAATTCTGGGTTAAAATTTTAAATATAGTGTATGTTATGTCTACTAAGTGACAATCCAAAAATAATTGTAGTAGAGTTGTTAACTAGATACAATAAATTCGACTAAATGAACATTTTCAGTGAAAATATAAATGCATAAATTTTCAATGAAAAAAAAAAAAAAAAAAAGATTTCTCATAAAATAGAAATCAAAGTAAATGCTTTACAAGTTTTAAAGCTTATATTTGTAATTTTAGGTTAAGAAATAATTTCCAAATTGGATTTTCATCCTTCGTATGATAAGCAATTGAATATTTGCTAAGAAATTTATATTCTGCTTTTGATTATGCATTTTAACTTACACCCTCCCCACTGAACACAAAGTCATTGTTATGCATAAATGCATCTGCTTCATTTTTAGCAAGATGTTTATATCTTTCTTTAAATAAGCTAAAAATAAATCCAAACAACTTTTCAAATTAAACTCAAAACTTGTTTAATCCCTTAACAAAAGAGGGAAAGTTGTTAACACAAATGACAACTCAGACATAAATGTTTGTCATTTTAACATCACAATATATGCACACATTTTAGACATTAATTTGAAAGAGTAACCATTTAGTTAGCTGCTTTAGCAATATACACCTAATGTAAGTAATATGAATGCGCAGATAGCATCATGATTACTCTCATAGAAAGCAGAATTGGCATGCCAAGTTCAAATTCTAACAATGTTTCATTCACTTTGCACTGATGCCCTTGGAAAAGGGCATGAAATCTTTTGCCCTATCTATAGGTTAAATAGCAGAGAAGACTACTTTTGCCTTGAGTGACAACCATTCTAGAAGGAAAACCAGTTCAACCTCCATTATCTTGTATCTTTGAGAGAAGATAAGGTTAATGATAGACTATTGATTAAACCATTTCTTTAGACTACCAGAAGTTTTTTTTTTGGGGGGGGTGACATATAGGCAGCCCAGTATCTTCACAACCCTCTGCACTACACCATCACAGAGGGACAGAAGTTAACACCATGAAAAATATACACACCCACTTCTAAGAACATATGTACTCTACCAGTTCTAGGCACTTGTGCTAAGGAGTGACATGTTAATCCTTGACAGAACACAAATATATGATACCAATCAGATTGGATGGGCTATTGAAAGAATATTGATATTTGGATTCTAGGTAGAAGTGCTAATCTATATGGAAACCATCCAAAATGATTGGATATCTTGTAAAAAAAAACAGTAAATTCAAAAAGACTGGAGACAAACATTGAAAACCAGTGAAGACTGATGTGAATGAAAAATTCAGGAAGAATTTCTGTAAATTTCACCAATCCCCACGTCAGATATTCTTTGAAAAGTAGGATAACTTCACGCCCAAAGTCAGCAAGTTGTTTAGCCATGAGAAGGACAGAATGAAAGACAAAAGTTGTCTACAAATAACTTTTTAAATGAGAAATCACAAGATCGAGCAACAATTAATCAATCATAAAAGAATAAAGAGTTAAGTAATTATGTGAGAGTTGAATGAGTATTCAAGGTCATGAATAATCAATAAATTTACTCAAGGTTATTTAAAGTCAATTATTCCCAAAGGATAAAAGAGAATAAATTTGCCGCTTTTTTTTTTTTTTTTTTACCCGAGAACCCTGTAGTTACAGAGAATAAGATATTAGCCAAGGACAATACAAGAACAGGTAAATAAAACGAGGAGAAATTTTAGATTTCCCTTAAGCTTTCAAATTGGAGTTGATTATGAGTTTTCAAATATAAAAACAAATCAACATTCATTTATTTTCCCCTATTTACAACAGGATATTAGAAGAAAAATCCAGTTAACTTGATATAAACAGAAAGAGTAAGTTGTTAATAGTGTTCCATTAATACTCAAAATATGGAGGAATCACTACAGCAAATCAAATAACTGTGCAAGATACTTACAGAATGAAAAAGATTTTTTTACATGTGTAAACTATTTATTTATACAGGATAATGACTTAATGCTTAGGCTTCAATTCATTTTGTTTTTCTGCTTCCACAACTCATTACATTATGGATGTTTTCAAAGTTTCATTTCATCATTTTTCTCTTACTCAGAAAGGATACATTGAAAGGTAGAGGCTTAAAGTGAGAAACAATAGCATACCAAACAGTACTACATCATTATTTGGTATGCTAGATGCTCAGCAACGGACAAGAGAGCTCTTCAAAGGGTTATAGATACCACCCAGAAAATAATTGGCTGCTTGTTGCCCTCCTTGGAGGACATTTCTAATTCTTGTTGTTGCAGAAACCAAGATAAAAACAGCATACATACTGGCTACAACTTGTTTGAACTGTTACCCTCAAGATGAGGTTTTAGTTCTATTATTTCTAAGACAGAGTGATTGAGGGATACATTTTATTATTGGGCCTGCATAAAATGAACGCTGCTACACATTGACAATTCAACGTATTTTAAACGTTATTACTTTTTTTCCATTCAATATTATGTTTGCTTCCATCTGTGTTTTGTGCATGTTTTTTGACTTTTTGTGAACTTGGGGACTGCTGTCACATTTCATTGTGCATTGAACAGTGGAAATTTTTTTTTTTTTTTTTTTTAAATTACTTACCTGGTCCACGGTAACATCACCAACAACAGTGGAACCATATTTTTTGCGGAATTCAATAACTTCCTTTTGCTTTTCAGGAATTTTATTTGCTAAAATATCCTTTAAGTTCTGAAAATTTGAAAAAAATATTCAATCATTTCAAAATGTCTTTATAAAAATAAAGTAAATCTTTATTCTTCAAAGGATTCTTTTATTTCAACAGTTTAAATTTGCACATCAACGTAATTTTACATTTACCAATAAAAGGTAGGAGAGGAAAAATACAACTGACAAAATGACAATTTGTAAGGAAACCCATATCAGATATATAATTTAAGCTTTATATTTCTCTAATCATTGTTGTTAGCTAGCTTTTTTTTTTTTTTGCTTTTTTTGAATAAACCAAAAAGAAAAAGTTAGTTGTATTTTTTTTTTTTTTTTTTTTAAAAGAATTTCTTGTTTATGACCCTAGGTTAAAAGGGTACTTTGAAATAGAAAGCATCACATCACAAAACTTAAAAAAAAAAAGGGTTATTCACATTTAGAAGTATCTTTAAAATTTGTTTTTGCTTCTTTCTACAGGTGTTAAATATTACATAACCAGTGAAAATTTGGTTGCTTCTCTGAATCAGGAAGTTAATCCATCAGTTAAATTTAAGCATACAATTAAAAATTCTGCTTATGTAAATGACTGCTTAAATATTCTTGTTATTAAAAGCAGCTAACACAGAATTTAAGACCTGTTTGTAGCAAATAAATCTAATGCTTTGATATAGAAGAAAAATATTTAAAGAGTATATTATTCAGATATACGTGTCTATCAATCTTCTCTATTTACTATTGAAAACAGAAAAAAATGAATCCACCAGGTATCTCATTATACAGTCAATTCCAGATTTTATAGGGAGGGGGAGGTTGCTTTTCTTGTTGAGCTTTCAAAAACAAAAGACTTTTCTGCTAGATTTATATAAGCTTTCCAGCCCTCCAACAAGTCTATGAATAGCAAAAAAAAAAAAAAAAATCTGTTTAAAATACATTGACAAGGAGGTGATAGCACAATTATAGATAGATAAAAAATAAAAATGGTTTCAATGATTATTCAATGTTTTCATTATATATTATTGAAAGTTTAGAGCCAGTTTTTTTTTTTTTTAAAGTGATGTTAACATCTTACTATTAAATCATAAGACCTTCTTTCAGACCAACAATATGGCTTTCATTTTTCTACGTCAACTGCTGATGTACAAACAATAATTGTGGAAAGAGTATCAAACTCTAGATAAGAATAGTGAAGCTAGAGTTGTTTCTTTGGACATCTTGGTCCTACTTTGTTTTTAATTTTCATTAACAACCTTTTCAATTGAATCAGCTCTCAATTTGGTATCTATGCTGATGACAGCCATTTACTCTTGTCTCTATAGCAAGTTTAATAAGGTCAAATTGGTGGCTGATGTCAAAAAACTTCCAGTCTGTTAACAGGGGGCAAGGGATTGTTTGTTAATTTTAAATCCTCCAAAATTAAACTGCTTTCTATTAATCATCTGAGACCCCTTTTCTGACTGATGCCAGCCTCCAGGAAAGCAACTCGTTCCCTCTTGAGTTATGTTCTCATGTTAACCTGAAGTGGAAAGTATATCGAATTCATTGCTAGGTCAGCTGCTAAGAAAGTTTGTTCACAGTGTCATGATAGACAATTATCACCAGAACCTATCTTACATATTTATAAGTTTACCATTTGTCCATGCTCAGAATAGTGCTGCCACATATATGGTACTTCTGCTATATATCTAGAAATCTTAAAATCCAAAGAAGAATCAGCAAAGTTATTGGTCCTGATCTGGCATCTTGGCTACAAATACTTTTCCACTACCTTAAAGTTGCTTCCATGTGCCCTTTCTATAAATACTTTCATGCCAACTGTTCAGATGAGCTCTTCACTATGGTACCTAAACTTCATTAATTTAAGCGCAGTACTAGACTGGCAACAAGGTTACACCAATTTACTGTTGAGTTAGATGTAACTAAGTTCTATGCTAACAGTTTCTTTTCTTGCATGTAGAACTCTTCCAGCTCCATGCTTTCCAGTCAACATTAATCTACAAAAATTTAAATGCAATGCCAATCACTATCTGCTATTTTCCCAATTACTCTTGTTCCTTACTAATATTTCAGTTTTGTTTCTTTTAATTCTCCCACACCCAGTAACACCTTGCTTTATTGCCTCCTTACTTGGAGGATATATATATATATATATATATATATATATATATATATATATATAATAACAGAATTCTATAAAGCTTCCCAAATCATTAACTAAGCAAAATAAAAATTGCATTGAGTTGCACATACAAGGGGCCAACAAATTTTGATTCCTGACCAAAAAGAGATTAACAGGAAAATCATTTTTCTTTGTTTTAAAATCATTTCACATCAAGCAAGGCAATAAGAGCTGCTATAAGATGTAAGGTGTTACTAAAAGTGAGAGAAACAAATACAACAATAAAAGACTAAATTTCAAGGAGAGAAGATAATGATTGACATTGCATTTAAATTTTTGAAGTTAGTGGTTAAGAAGAAAGCAGAAAGTTGGCAGAGAGTTTCACAAGTGAGAAGTGCAAAAGAAACTATTAGTATAGAACAACTTATGGTTAAGTCTAGCAATTTCAACAGTGAAATTTAGATGCCAATCTAGTACTACTTTTAAATTTGAAAAGTCAGAGTACTAAAGAGGAAAGCTCATCAAAAGAACTGAAAATATTTATAGAAAAAGCACAAGGAAGCTATATTATGGCAATGGGAAAGTGACTGAAATAGAGATGCCAGGTCAGGACTGATAACATTGAAGATTTTTCTTTTAATTTTTTTTCAAGAATCTCTAGATGTATAGCAAAAGCACCAGACAGGATGTAGCAGCAAGTCAAATGGTAGACTTATAAAATATCTATTAAGCAATTTCTTGATTATTGCACTTCTGCTATTCTGTACTTAATTGGGGGGAAAAAAAAGAAAAAAAAGAAAAGACAGAAAGCTAATGTTAATGACAGTTCACAGTCTAAAGTGTGCAAATAAACATTTTTGTTATGTTTTAAGCAAAAAAGTAAGCATTACTTTTGCAAAATCCAGTTAATTAATACTTAAGTTTAGTAATTTACTTTGAACCAAATTTTTAGCGCGAATATTGGATTTTAAAACTTGTGTACATTATTCATTTATAAAGGAGGTATGATGAATGAACATGATAATGTCTAAAAACTATTTACATACAGAAATTTATATTTCTTTTCATATGGATTAGCTTAAAGCTTATCAGCTTTCAAGCCAAAATTTAACTTCAAAGAAGTTATTTAAATTATTCAAAAAGAGGCATGCAACATTTCTATGTAAAAAAAAGGTTGTTGGATAGAGAATAGATCATCCACAAGACCATGTAGTCACTTTTGAACTGTCAAGGCTGGAGAATAAAGACTGGGCAGCTCTGCCAAAATATGGCAGAAATATACTATTTTCAGTGTGATCCGACTCTTGTAAAGATGCTTTCTGGACCAGTACAAGGAACTGACTATCCCCCCCCCCAAGTCTCTTTAGCAATGGAATACATAAGGATGAGGTGAACTAGAGTCCGAATAGACTATTTTTTTTTTTTTTTTTTTTTTAAGAAAAGATTTTATTGGAGCTATACACTTTTAATACAAATGTTTTGCCATTAAAGGTGTTGCAGACATCAGACACAAAAATCTAAGCAAATTTCAACAGATCATAACTCTGGCTCAAATAATGGGGGGGGGGGCATCTCCCAGGTGGATGTGACAAAATTTCATCAAACTCAGATGGTGACCATGGAATTATTGCTCAAATTGACATGGAATGACTCATGTAAGAAAGATTGCAATAATAAAAATTTTATACCTAAAAATGTAAAATTGCCTAATTTATACCTACTTTTTATTGAAGGAGTTATGATCATTAGTTTGTTATTGACCAAAAGTCACTTGTAGGAGACTAGATAAATGACATTGTACATATTGTTATGCTAAAGATTACATCACAACACATTGTTTTTACTAAGAAAAGAAATTCAACTTCCTTTAACCACATCTGGAGTTCATTATACAGCAAGTTATGAGAATGCAAATTTTTTAAATTTGCATAAACTAGAAGTGAATTTCTATCAAAATTGTGTTCAAAGTACAAAACTGGAAAATAGTAATGGCTACTCTAATTCATAGTAATATAGATAATTAGAATCTTAATTTATTTGAAAGTGGGTCATACAAACAAAAGGCTATTATTGTTAAACATTCAGGATTTCTCCTGCTACACATTAACAGGTTGTTACTCGTTTCCAAACAAAATGCTGAGTCACTGGTTTTTAGTACTGGAAAAAAAAAAAATTTTATAACATTGATTTCCTTCTCAGTGAAGAAAAAAGCAGCTGCCAAATTCCATTAATGAATAAATAAAAAGAATAATCAAAAACCTATAAAATTTAGAAAACCATCTGTCAATATTTTCTTGTTACCGATTTCTATTTGTGGACTTATTTAAGTTGTTTTTCATATTTTTAGAATTTTCACCAACACAAAGTATCTTTCTTAATCTTAAGAAAATTAATCATTGTAATATATTTTTTATTCAGTTTATTGAGGATATGCTCATTTCAAATAGAGAGCCACTGAAGTGACCAAATTTGTACTTACTGTCGTTGATGCAGCAGTACTTAACTGTGGTACTCGGCAAGAGTTGGACAGGACTATGTTCTGTAAAAAGAAAAGATTTTATAAATAGACATGGCATGTCCCAAATTCATTCATCAGCTGTACTGTGTATCAGTTAAGATACAAATGTAAAAGGTCATTAACAAAATTATGAGGTCATTTTAACCTTCAATAAAAAGATGAATATGAATTTCATTTCAAGATGACTAGTATATTAAAAGTACAAATCATTTAATACAATCTTTTTACACTGATAAGTAGCAAATTAATGCAGTTAAGAATTTTTTTTAAAAATCAAAAACTGAAGATGCATCTGCAGCCTTGATTAAAGATGATACCAGAAGGTTTAACAAAAAGTTAATATTTGTTCATGCAGACACATCTTAAAGTCAAGATATTTCATTTACAAAAACATTTGATGTATAATGTCAACTGACATTAAACCTGCGGAGAATTTTAGAAGTGCAATATTTTTAGAAGTCATTTTTTTCCAATTATCACTCAAGTCCCATAGACTCCACTGAAGAGGAGGAGAGAATCACAACTCTCTCAATATGCTATGTTTTTATGAGACGGTAAGGTAGCCTCATGCCCAACTTGTTTTGAATTCAGAATTGTCCTCCTTGGCAACTATAGCTGAAGAGCCAAATCTACCGTACTTTTTAACTCAGAGCTGAGTAATTCATACCTTTCCCAAGAGTATTTCCAGGAAAGTGAATATGAGCTCAACTGGAATTTGAACTCTCACTGATTTTCTCATTTTGAGTATCCATTACACCACTTACACAATATCAAGCTTAATTTATTCATTAAATATTTCATATCTATTTTGAAATGACCCAAGTTCTGTTTTTTTAATCAGGAAAATTAAAAAGTTATGACGAGCAAGATATACTTATTTTTTTTTTTACTAACATTGTTTATGAATCAACAATATTTTGAAAGACACTGAAGTTTTAGCTTGTTACTGAAGAATAGTTTTTTGGCATATAAAAAAAGTGAATAAAATTGATAAAAGATAATCACTATGCTTTAATTTAGATTAACAAAATGTTCTTCATTGCACTAAGAATACAGGTATAAACTGATATACAACTTTGTCTATCCATTTTACTCTGGACATCTCAATCCAGATGATGAATCTAATCCTACAGGTACCAATATCTGATTGTGTGATAAGTTTAGAGAATAAAAATTTGTTCAATAACAAACTAAGAAAAGGTGAACATAACATTTTTATTTTTGTGTTTAATCTCAGCTTCATTCTTTCTGCTGCTGAAATGGCATGGATATTGAATGATTAGACAAAAATAACATCTACCTCTTACATTTGGCAAGTTCATACCATTCCCCCCCCCAACTATAAAAAGCCACAAAAAATTATCTAAATAAGAACAGGAAAAAATATAGATTGTTTAAAAAGGTTTTGGCTGCAGCAAGCGGCACCCATCCAATAATTTGCCAATTAAGAGAAGATTTATCATTTGCATATCCCTGATTTTTTTTTTTATATACACCATTTCTACATTAGAAGGTCCCCCATCTCTGATTCCATTTGCACATAAAAGGCTGTAACCTAAAACATCTATAGCAGAGGAAAGAAAATATGCAGATAAAAAAAAAAAAAAAAAAAAACTGTTAAGAGAAGGTGTAATTGAAGGTGGGGATGAGAAAACAGGACCTCTCCTCCATACCACAACTCAGGCAAATATTTTAGTACCTCTTCATTTAATCTTCTGGAACACATACCATGCCATGAAAGTGATTATAATAAATCATTTTTACTTTGGGAAAATGTTTAAGGAAAGTCATTTTTGTTGAGTATTTTGATGTATCTGCTTTGGAAAGTGTGATTTACTAAGATTTTTGTATGCATCCTGTTGAATGTAACAGTAAAATTTTCAAAGCCTAGATAACAATGTCTTGTGATTTTCAGTGCAATGTCATATCAGGAAACCATGTCTGTAATTCCTTAGTAACAGTAAAGCAGCCAAAATTGTTTTAGAAAAGAATGTCAAAACTTAATAGTAATTCACTATTTATGCCTAACAATATTGTTTTTTTCAACAGTGTTACTTGTAAATTCCTTCTCTTAATTAGATAAAATATAAATGGAAATAATATTAATGCATTTAAGGAAAAAAGGCAGAGTAGTTTCTTTAAAATAGCATAAACAACGAGCAAACATCTTTAGAAAGTTTATAATTTTTTTTAAACAAGTTCAAAAAGCTTAGAATCATGGCCACATTTCCAAGACCAACAAAAATGGGAATAAAAATTCACAATTCAGGTTTTCTCAATTGAATTACAATTACTCAATGCAAATGTCTCAAGTTCAAATGAACCACAACAGTTGACATTCTTAATATCATAATGAGTATAAAAAAAAGTTCTTTGCTCCATGACAATCTGTTCAAATTTAATAAAACTATTTTGCAAGTGTTTTCTAATAAACATTTGAAAACTGGCCAGTTCATTACAGAGAGTAACAAGTGCGTGGGAAGTAACAAAACTTTAAAAATTTGTAAGCTTTTCTATTCAATTTCTAATCTTGACACATGAAAACAATGTTGCATGTAGTTATCTGATCTAGGGAAATAAAGTTGTGATATCATGATTATAACAAGCAGAAAGTTTAGAAGGTATCAAGTACATCTTCAAGAAAGGAAGTACATTTTAAAAAACACTTTATAAACAAATACTTATCAGGTAGAGGCTTGGTGTTTTAACCAATACATAAACAGTAAAAATTTTCCTGGTACAACTATCTTCAATCCAGAAAAATAACAGAACATTAAAAAAAAAAAAAAAAAAAAAAAATTTAAGTCTGTCCAAAATTAAATATTTTAACTACAAAAAAATGTCAAATACAATAGAAAAAAAAAATAGAATTTTGATCTTATCTGAATTATGAAATGCAAATCATTGATTTAAAATTATATGTAAACATCTATTACCAGAAACAGATTTGTTCAATATTTTAAAATTTTCTGTCAGATTTTATTATGCAAACCAATGCTTCACACTAAAATTATGATCAATCAAGCAGTAAGGGTAACATTTTCAGTAAATTGTAAGAATTAATACACTTTACAGCAATTTCTAAATACAGGCAAACTTAACAAATAACCAGAGTTGCTGTGTAACTTTTCCTTTGTGTGTGCCTTTACCTTGTTACACTAACACAGATACATAAAAATTGACAAGTGAATCCTGCTCTGATTTGGTTGCCCAACCAGATGGTAAGTGACATATATCCACTAAGCCATTGTTCTGCTGCTTCAACAACAGCACTGTAACATTAACTTGCAAATACTAAATTAGGCAGAGTGTGCAGATGCTACCCTAACCCTGCATTAATCTATACATAAATAATACAGGTACTATCATGCTTGTAAAAAAAAAAAAATTTTAACACTAACTTTTGATTCTTAAACTATTGAATAAAAAGAAAAAGGCTGCTGAAACAAACAAAAATTCAGAAAACTGCAATTTAACAAAGAAGTGGGAAGAGATTTACATTTTTTAAAATAGAATTTAAATAAAATAAATACATAAATTAACTATTTCCAATGTTTGTATTTTTCAAAGTAGTTCAAAGAATAATTTATTTACATATCTACCTGACTACATGAAGTTGTAAAACTACTAGTGATGAATACAGAGAAAAACTACAATTTTGACAGTATTATTTACAACTAAACAAGATCTTATATTAAAAAATTGAAGGACATTTTGGCTGAGAGGTTATAGAGCTTTTGAAACTAGGACTGTATGCAGCTTATTCACCTAAGCCTATTTAAAAGAATGAGATTCTATCTTCAAATCAATTAAAAGATTGCAGCTGCTACCCATCATACACTGTGGGTGAGAGTTCACACACACAAGCTTCCATGACCAATACAAAATTTCATTGAGCAATATGAGGGTTTCTTAGCTAGATATGTTCACATAAAACAGTGTTGTAAAATAATTTACTGTGAAATAAGAGAAAATTTTGACAATAGTTATTTGTGTGCATGTAAACCAGATTAAGCAGTGATAGCCGAATCATATTGGGAAAAGTTTAATGCATTGCTAATAAAGAATAAGAAAGCAGTAGATGACAAAAGGACGACAGACAGCAATGTAGCATTCACATTTTGGTAGTCAAGAAAAGTAGTTTGTGAAGCAAGCATGAGCTTGAAAATCATCAATACTGCCTTACAAAGGACTACAATGTGACATGGAACCCTAAATTCAAGGTTATAATGATGAAAGTGAATTGATGCATTTTATAGTAAGAAAACTGCTTATTCTGTAACACTATAACTTAGTAAAATCAGAATAAAATCATTAATAAAATAAAAAAAAAAAAACCTAGAAAAGTAAATTATTTACCTACAAACAAAATTTCAAGTACACAAACAATTTGAGAAAATTCACACTGCAATGTGTTTAGATGCTGCAGACTTTATGGATGACAGTTGAATGATTTACAAGAGTCTTCATTAGCAGCCATATTATCCCGACAAACTGAAAGAATCTAGGGTTAAAGTAGATTCAATATAAGAATTATGAACCAGTTATCAATCCAATTAAAGTGGGGACCTCCACATAAAAACATGATATTTAAGATTTAAAATGAAATTTTAAAAAGGAGAAATATTTTAATCTTTTTTCATTTTAATTTTAAGCTAATAGATTAAAATTAATATTCCCAATAAGCACTCAAAAACTAATTTAAATTCACTGGAAAGAATATTTTTTTCTAAAATAGCTGATTAGTGCCCTTTTTTAGTTATCTTTCATTAATGTAATTTTCTTTATTAAAAAAAAAAATCTTCACAAAATATACTTTTCTGAAACTGAAAAATATTAGCTGATTTAAATTAAATAATTATTTACTTTAAGTTTAAAATATCACAGAAATGCATTTTTTAACCCAACAATAGCTGTGTTGATGTATTGACAGCCTGATGTCAAATCTAAGTTGTTCTACAGAGACTATTTGTAAAACGTAATTAAAAAGGAAATGGTGTGAGGGCTTTTTTCATATAATT